TTGATGGGTTTCAAATATCTATACGGAAAAAATCGACACCAACTGATACACAAATTCGAATAATTGATTTTATGTCGCGATTGACGTTTTTCAAATAATAATCTGATAAATAATTTTAGTATATTACAAAATAATATAAAGTTCATTTCATATATAAATATTATATATATAAGATATAATTACATTTCAATTTAATTACAATATTTCGTACTCCATAATTATAATTAGTTCAAAAATATTTATAATTTGTAAATTTAAAAGATTAGAAATTATTAATGTAACGAATTATATTAAAATAACTAATTATATTGTCATAATATTAGTTTCTAAATTATGGCAAATTTTATAAGGAAATGTTTTAATTTTTTAGTAATTTTGGAAATATGCATTAAAAATGTTACCAAATAATGAAGATTGACAATTAATGAGGACTTTGTATGTATATAAAGTATATGGAATAATTAATTCCACGAAGGATATGAGTAGGATGCCACATAGATATGACACATGTCGATTTCTTAATCTATGAGGGTTTCAATTTATATATTACTAGTGATACACCCGTGCGATGCACAGGATAGCATTTCAAAAGGTGAAAAAAAAAATATTAAATACGTTATCAATAAAAATAGTAATAAAATAATATATAGTAACAAAAATATTAGCAAAATTAAATTGAGAAAGGGTTATATGAACTTAAATCATCATAATATGGATTTATTGTTAATGAAATGAAGTATGTTGAATAAATCAAAAAGTAATAAACGTGCCATACATTTGTTCTACAACTCGAGCAATTGACGAACACCATTATTTAGTTTTTTAACAAAACCGATTAAAAATACGTATACAAAAATACATTCCATTTAAATTCATTTCGTAGTAACATAAAATTACCTAAATACAAACATCCATAAACCAATGTTTACAGTTGTATACCCGTAGTCGTAATCATAAAATACAATAATTATAAACTATACCATTGTCGTGATCGTAGTAAAAAGTTTTTAGTAATCGTAAGAAAAATTATACTATGAAATTACTAATTGTATATTGTAGCTTGCATTTGTAAGAGTTTAACTCGAGCAATGATGCTTTGACTCTAGAGGCGCTTGTCGAAGTCAAAATTTGAACGCCTGCTCCTTCTCCTCTTGGCAAATGCATCCCCAATAAAATCAAGAGTGACATCTAGGGAAGCCCCCTGACAAAGTGTTAAACGGGTGAATTAGGCCTTTTAAGTTTTTCAAGATTCTAAGTCATAATAAGGTTTAAACTTGAATCACCCTAAATAGAAACAAAAATATTCTAATACAGGTAAAGAAAACTACTTAAAGAAAAGGGTAAATTACACCCACACCCCTAAGGTATGCTTAAATAATTTTAAGGTCTATATGGTATCGATAATTACACACACCCCCTGAAACGTAGTTATAAACTCTAACGGGATAATGCATTGGATACATTATTCCGATAGGGTCCTAATGGACTATTACTTTCAGCTAGTGGTGGAGATAACATAGAGTTATGGGGAGTTATGGGGTGACATGGCTCCCCCAATATTTCTTAAATCAGCCATAATTCTTTGTTGTCTCCACCACTTCCTGAAACTAATAGACCGTTAGAACTCTATCGTAATAACTAATCCAATGCATTATCCCATTAAAGTTTATAACTATGTTTCAAGGGGATGAGTGCAATTATCAATACCACAGAGACCTTAAAGTTATTTAAGCTAACCTCAGGGGGGTGGGTGTAATCTACCCTAAAGAAAAATAAAATAATAAATTGTACGATAAAATTACTAATTGAATGTTATAGCTTTTCAAATGTCAAACATTTGAAAAAACATGAATTAAAATGAAACCCATCTTTGTGAAAATCTTAATTGATTCCCAAATTTTTTTTCTAATGTATATCATATAACCAAAAATACTAATATGAACTTTGAACTGTGCAGTGGGATTCAAAGTTGTAATTCCTTTTATAGAAAAAATGGAAATAAACTTTCAAATGTATGTAACAAAAAAATCCCCAAACTATAACCATTTTCTTCTCTCACTCACATTTAAACTAATGTGTTCTCTTTCAAAACAATAGATATATAATCACATTATTCACCCTGTTACTTAAACTTCAAACAACAAAAGCGAAAGGCATAATCAAAATGACTTTAGTTTTCCAAAACAAATGAAAGGTATATTAAAATAAAATTCATCGGTCAATGTGGAACAGATTCAAAATAGGCATGTAATTTCTAATTTCTTAATTTGTAATGAAGATGTAGTACATAGAAAAAATCGAGTTGATTATTGGCATTTGTGTGTAAATAAGGATAGCCAACATACCCGTGTTTGTAAAGTATGCACGTCTGTGTAAGCCAACATTTATGCCTTTCTTGACTCTGCCACATCACATATATGTCTCATCTGCTTCTCCACAGCCTTTCAGCACGTTGCTATAGCCCGTTTTTTGTTAAATCATCAATATATAAAATTGAAGACTGTAAATGAAAGTCGTTACTACTAATATTCTACCTCCAACTGAGTCAAGTACATAAGACATGTCGCTACAAATGAGCCAAAAAAATATGTTATCGATAGAACAACACCTTACTTCTTTTATATATAAGATTTACTCGTATAGCCATATTTTTTGCATCACTTACCAATTGTACAAAGGGTACAATTTTTTTATTTTATTTAAAAAAGACCCCATTTATATAGCCATCGACCAATAGCTCTTATAAACTTTAAACAGTAACTCAAATAAAATATGATCAAAATTGAACAAAAGTGAATCGTTATTAAAAATAAATAAGGAATTACGTAAGTTGACAATACCATCAAAGGGATTTCCATTAGACTAAGTCATCTTTTCTCCGAAAAAGGACTTTGATGTCCCTGACAGTTTTATCACCATCACCATATCACCATCTGCTAAAATTGAAATTCATTTCAGTTATTATATTACATTACTATAAATAAATAAAAAGTTACAATAATAAGAAGATAAGTCTAGAGAAAAATAGAAACATAAATTTTAATGAAGCCTCAGACCATATACTTACGGATATGGAGATAGGGGGGGGGGGGGGGGGGGGGGGGGGGGGGGGGGAATCCCCCCAAACCCTTTTAACTTGAACCCTAATTTAAAAAAAACCGGGGAAGGGAACATGTCTGAGTAAAAAAAAAAGGGAAATTTTTAAAAAAAAGGGATCAGAAATAGTTGCCACGACAACCCAGAGAATGAATGCATATTTATAGAATTGACGTATCTAGTATTGCAACGATAAATCCTCATAAGATCCATTAACATATCGATCAATCAGTTACGTAACAGCCAAATGGCTTACAATATGAAGGTTTCCGTTCTGAAAAAAGAAAACCCATAATTTAGAAAAAAATCCTTTTTGATACAGAGTAATTAAAGAAATAAGGATGCGCAACAAAAATTCCCAATTAGCACTTTTCTCACTCTGCAAATATGCAACCACTATTTGGATGAAATTGACTCAACATCCCACCGAGACAGTGTTTTCGCAAATTGGAACACAGAGCATCATATACGGCTAAGATCTTTCCCCAATTGAATTTTTTTTACGAATTATTTTTATATTATTAATTTCCAAAATACTTTTTATTCCATGTTGGTTTTCTCAAAGCCATTGATTTTCCGTACCCAAATTCTTACAGAAAGTACAGAAAGAAGGATGAACAGAAATATGAGGATTTTCTTACTTGAAATTTCGATTGAAAGTTGAAGGAGTGAGTATTGAGAGAGAAATTTAGAGGAGATGGAAAACGTGAGAAATCTAGGGGAGATGAAACGGTGTGTTTTTTCTGATAAATGGAAGTTTTCGGATAGGAAATGAATTTAATATCCTGTGGAGATTTTATTTTAAAAAACTGCCAAATGCTAATAAAACTGACCGACTGAAATTTAACAAAACGCCATTAGAAAACCAAGATATTACAAAAACGGCTCTAGGGTTTGAAACCCTAAATATGCCACGTGTCACCATTTTAGGCCTATAGATTGTCTTTTTATATATATATAGATATAGATTGATTGCACACCACACCAACTCTGTATAATACATCTCTCATGTCTGCTGCTGCTGCTGATTTAGCCTCGCCGCCGTGGCCAACGACGCCGCGACGCCGCCAGGGTAAGTGGTCATGTCCAGTTTGTTCCTCAATTCCGCCGCCACAGCCGCTTCCGCATCTTCCTTCGTCACCGCCCTGTCATCTGGTAGTTTCGAAATTGCACCCTGCACATACACACAATATAACAAATATTATTGAAATTAAATATTTAAATTAAGGATAAAATTATTAATTAGTTAGAGGATTTTAATTTTACCCCCAAAACGTCGCGAAGTTTTATCTTTTTTTCATCAGCCATTGTACGAGCATTGTGTTTGGCTGCGGATTGAGCCGCCGCCGCAACCCCGCCGGGGACTACTTTGTCGAGTCCTGATGCTCGGCTCTCCACCGCCTGTATCGCGGCGGCGTCGCTTTCATCTACCGGCTTGTCGCCGGCGGAAAGAACCACCGACTCCAAGGCTTGTCCAATAGTAACCGCTCCCGGGCTAAGAGCCGACAGTGGTGGACCCGTCGTCTCCTCTTCTCCGGCCACGACGTATTTTCCGACGACCTAACCAAAATTAGAACAAAAACAAAAATATGTATGTAATTGCGTTTTTTACCCATTAATTCACCGTGCGACGATGTGTGAATAATTATATATATATATATACCTCTCCGGCGACGGCCTCAGTGATGATGCGTTGGCCGCCGGCGTCAGTCTGAGAGATTAAAACACCGTGCTGCCTGGTAGCTTCCGTGACGTCATCTCGGTGGAGGACGCCACGGCTGACGTTGACATCCGCCGCAGACTGCATAACTGCCGCCGGACCCCCTTTCTGAACCTGACCGAGGATGATGCTCTCAGCTGCCTGTGCGGTGGCGGCGTCTCTCGGCGCGACTGGCTTGGAAGCTAGTTCGCCGGAGACCTGGAATATATCCCCGTACTTGACGGATTCTTGCTCAGCCTCCGGCCTTCTCGGCTGTTCTTGGCTCATTATTTGGTTAATGTATTACACAACTATTTACTCGTGCTTAATTTGATCCTGATAATAAGTGCGTCGGATAATTTCTATAGAGGCCGGTGAGTACGTGGCGGTGACGTGGCGTTTTTTATTACACGTGTTTGAAACATCAAGTTCGCTTGCCTGCGTGTACACTTAAATTTTTATTTTATTTGGTAAATTTATTCTGTATGAATGTTGTCATTCAAACTTATCTAGTGAACTACTAATATCCAAATACAAGTCTCCTAATTAATTACTTATCCAAACTACGTACTTAGCAAGTTGATATGAAATTAATAGAGAATGAATTAGTGGGTTGAAAAATAGAGATCACTAATAGTTGACCAAACAAATGAAAGTGGTTTTCAGCATCTGCAAAGCCCACTATAGAAGGCTTTAACCCATGCTCATATCAATTTCGAACACACTTATATATAGTGGAATAATGACTTTGTAACTTTCACTACGTGACCAAAAGTATGTACATATTCCCATACCCACAATACAAAAGTTATTGAAATTCAATAATTGAATTTTCAATTCAAAAAAATGGCCACACCCTAAATCTTTAGTACCCATCACACAACACGAATACGAACAAATTCAAAGACCCCGGCCACTCCATTGATTTGATCGATCGATGCTACACTCGATAAATTTCATCGACTAATATTCAACTCTAAATAGTTGAAGGTGAAAGATGATAGATTTTAGCCAACAAAAATAAACAAAAAAACAATTGGATTATTTATGATGAATTATTGTACCTATTGCTTCAAGTGGAAATTTTTACTTGGATTTTCAATTTCATGAAACAGTTTGTTATATTAATTAAATTTATTTATACTACTAATTAATAATTTAAGCACCACCGTAAGTATAAAAACATTTCATTTTTTATTTTCCCCAATTATTAAGGTGAAGGACAGACAGTAATTTCTAGAAGTGAAACAGGGGTAAAATCGGAATCGGTTTACTGTACAAGAACAAGTCTATTCCCACCTCCCACTTCACCGCCGTCCTCCTCCTCCTCCTCCTCCTCAATCGCCGCCCCTTTTGGAACCGTCACCACCAGCTCGCCGTCTTCGTAAGCGGCGGAGGCGAGCTCCGGCAGTGTCGAAGCAGGTAGACGGAAGCGCCACAAATCGAGGTCCAGCTCAATCCCGCACAAGTCAACGACGCCGTTACCTCTGATAACGATCTTGGTAACGCCGGGGTAGATCTCGACGGCGTCGGCCCTGACGTCACCGCTGATGTCATCGGTGGGGGCGGTGAATCTGATGGAGTGAGGGGTGTCGTGGATCGAGACGTCGGCGTCGGAGTGGAAGGGAAGCTCTAGAACCTTCGCGAAGATATGAGGGAGACGCCTCAGCTTCTTTTGCCGGCAGGTGTTCGCCTGAGCTAGCAGCGATGCGACGTCGTATCTGAATGTGATGTTCCGCTTTCCCGGCGCTGGGTGGACCTTCATCTGTGCCGAATATTGTATGATTCTTTTTCTTTTCTTTTCTTTTTTTTTCTCAGAAAGAAAAGAAATAAAATACGAAACCTAGAAAAATCTGAAATAAAAATGAAGCCCAGATCAGATAAAATCTTGCGGCAGAGATTGGATTTTAAAAAACCCAAGTAAATAAATATTGAAATAAATGGTGTGGTGTTCGAAATCAAATTTATCGATAGGTATTTCAAACAATTTTATATTTTTAATATTTCACTTGGGTCCACGTGGCAATACTATGAATAAAGTTTTTCCTTTATGTTTTTTTGTTTTTATTCTTCTTTCTCTTATTGGGCTGATCAAGATTTGTACCCAAATTTAGACAGGAAAATAGACGATGAACAGCAGCCCAACAAAAATATTGTCCCGGGCCGGGCCTGTTTATTCTTTGGTAGCGTCGCCCATGTCATGATTTTTTATTTATTTTTAATTAAAAATCACGATTTTCCAATTAGGTTGCAAATCAAACAAACAAACCCTTCCAAAATTAATAAATATATAATAATAATAACATTTAATAATAAGAATAATAGGAGTGTTGGACTGGATCTGCATGTTTAAATTCTCCTCCTCCTAGTTCTCTGCCCATCCCCAAATTTTTACCAACGCTTAAACGAATTGTTTCCAAGGAATTGCCTACTTTGCCCTCCTCCAAGACTAATCTCAACCCCATTGCTAAATCTATGCCTTCCTCTCCACGCACCCGTGGTATGACCGTATACGTGATTTGCTCGACGAAAACCCGTAGTCGCAGCAACCTTAATCTTGATATTACACATTATTGATGATGCATGCATATTCTTTCGTGATTTAGTAGCTAGGGTTAGTTGTATAAGTTTCTTTAGTTTTTTTCTTTCTTTTAGCTCGTTCAAGTTCGTGGTGCGGTGGGCCGTGTTCCCCGTAACCAACATCGCGCGTAGTGTGTCAAGTAAGCACGTTGTGTGTTCTGCATGAAAGTTTATTGCATGAACATATATCTATATTTGGATCTGGTCAATCAAATTGTGCACAATGCATCTCCGACATCGAATATATTCTCTGTTCTTGGTATGTCAATGTGGGGAAATAAATTTAACTAAATTGTATTTGATTTCTCAGTCGCGGAATAATATGCCAAAAATAGATTCAACCATAAAAATATAATCTGGAGGCCTTTGACAGAAAAAGCTGCCCGACTCAAATGAGCGAAAGCTACCCGCGAAGTGCGTACGAAAAAAGCTACCTACTATGACGAGTGAAAAGCTATTCATGAGAATAAACTGCCTCAAGAGATAGAGTGAGAGCTACCACGCTAATTAAGAATTTAGTGCAAAAATGGAAAAAGCTACCTACTCCGATGAGTGAATGCTACTTATTAAAAAAAGCTGCCGTCAAAGATAGAGTGAAAGCTAACGTCAGAATCTCCGGGGAAAGAGCTGCCGTGAGTTAGTGCGAATGCTACTGACTGGCTAAGTCCACATTATTAATCACCATCCGTTACGCTTTGGCCGATTATGAAGTGAGCTTTGAGTTTATTTACTACCTAGTTAATATTTTATAATCCTTCACTTGGTATATTCTTGAACTTTGATTATTATTTGAAAAACACGATGCATTATGCACTTTTGATTTTGCATTTTCCTTATTTATTAAAAAAAAAAAGGGGTCGGGTTCTGTCGCCGAACCCCTGACGAGCCCCGGCAGGGCGAAACCAATAGCGTTTCGATGTTTTAATATTTAAAATTTATTTTAATTATATATTATATATATGACATTGGTCCAAAAAAAAATGTCTAAACTATTAACACATGGCACGTGTGTAAATTTGCACGTGATTTTCAAAAGAGTACAGAAAGTAATTAGGACTCGCGGGCAGGGACCTTTTGGTAAATTCCTTTGCTCCACTATACCCTCTATCGCGGCTCGCAAGGTGCACGCCGTTCTTGTAGACCAGATTTAAATACAACTCTGAGCCCATTTCAGATCCGTGCATATCTTATCTCACAAAAAGTTACAGAAGAAAACCCTCCCCACACACACACACACTGCACATCACTCAAAACTGCCCACATTTGTTCTTCATTCTCTTCTTTCACTGGGAATAAGCACACACATATACGTACATCTATACATACAGACTGAAAAACAAACTGATTCCGAAGAAGGGAAAAAATTTCGGAGTGTTTAGATCTTGCCGTTTCTTCTGTCTTCACGCCTAAAATCAGGTTTGTAATTTAGATTGAACCTATTTTTAACTGGATTTATGCTGTGTGAACTTTTTTTTTTATCTGCGTATTGATTCTGTGTAGATGTGATTTTTTATTACTTGTAGTGATGAGTTTTTCGTTTTCATTTATGTGTGGTGTGTGTAGATCTGAAGAAATTGAGGAGAGTGGGGTTGCTGTGTATACGTACAGATATACATATATGTTCTGTGTATGGGTTGGGCTTACTGAAATAGACATTTATCTGCTCAGATTTTTGTGGTTATGGAGGAGATCTAAAATTTCCGTGTTTTTATGATTCAGAAGTTCCGAAAAGCGCTCTTAATTCTAGATTTTTTTGTTAGTTTTTGCTATAGTTGTAATTAAGATTAGTGTAGAGGAGCAAAGGATTAAAGGACTGAGTTCAGTTAATTAAAACAAGTTCTCGTTTTAATGGAGACTCTAGTTGTTGTTTCCCATCATAGGAACCACCATCAGTATTATGGCAGAAGTCGCAGCCGTAGTTATGCAAAGCTTCGTTCGTTTGGTTCACCGCCTTCGGGCGGATTTCGGGGCATTAACTGCAGGACCTTTGAATCTGGAGAAGGGTTACTTCCGACCCCGTTTAAATCTTGCTTCACTAAAACCCCTGTCACTAAGAAAGCCGTTTCTTCTTTTTCGCCCAAAACCCCATCGCCAAATGGTAATGAAAACCAAAAACCCTCGAAAAGAATTGCAAAAACCAGCTCAATTCCAATACCTATTGCCATTGATTTTGATCCAAAAGAAGGGGAATACGATTTTTCTGAACGATGGGCTGGACCTGCTTATTCCAATTCTCCTTGCCCTAGTTCTTTGCCCATCCCTAAATTTTCAATGAGGCCTAAAAGAACCGTTTCCCTTGACTTGCCTAAATTGGCCTCTGAATTTGATTTTCACTCCATTGCTAAATCTGCACCAGTCTCCCCAACTAGGGAGCGTCGCCCTTCTCCAAGTGACCTTTTTGACTTTTCTGATTCTGCGACTAAGACCCTTCGTCGCATCCTTAATCTTGATATTACTGATTGAATGAAGGAATTCTGGTGGTGGATTTCGTAAATAAGGGACTTGGTGTACTTTTGTGGTTAAGTAGGGGTAGTGGTAGGCTGTGTATAATAAGGAAGATCAGTGTTTGGATTGACTTGTTATGAAAAGTCGCTCTGAAGTAGTGGTGGTGCAAAAGCTGTGATATCTGGATTGGTGTACTATCTCCAAAATCTTTGACGGTGTAATCTTTGTTTGGTTCTCGATATATTAGATGTGGTTTGGTGGCTCAGACATGATATACTATCCTGGTAAAAGTTGTGAACGAAAGGCAGTTGATCATGTGGCATACTAAAGATGAGTGTTAAAGTGTAGAGTTTGGGGATTCAACTGAAATTAAGTAGTTTGGGGACAATTCAATGCTTTTGAAAGTGGGGATGAAGTTCTCTCGGTTTATCTTTTTCCTCTCTGTTTCGTTGTCCCTTTGCAGTCGGTTTCTTCGTACAGCTTGTACAGTAAAGTAGATTCCTAACTTGGTTAGTTGTCTTAGTTTTTGTTTCTCTCCTTTATCCCAGCTAGAGTTCGTCCTGTTTTCTCAGTCAAATACCTTCAGTAGGTTATTTCATCTCTCTTTTAATGGTAGATTGGCTCATCATATTCGCCTGTGTATCATTGTTTATAGCTCTCTGCTGAATAGTTACTTACCTCTATATCTTCGTTTTCCTCTTCACCAAATTTCTGGTTTTTGAAAAAGAAAATTGGGAAGGGAAATAGGCATAGATGATATTTTCTTCCTTAGTCTTAGGTTTAGTACATGTTTGTTCTTCCAAAGTCTTGCCCACTCTTCGTCGTATGTGTGTAAGATGGTCATGCTACCTAGTTTGTTTTCTGGAAGTGGGCTCGATTCTTACGTCTCATCCTCAAAATTGGAGATTGTTGATCACACCTAGCTGTTTCACAGGTAATTCTTTCTGGGCTATGCTATATTTATTTTTTCATTATTATTTCATCCACAAGTAATAATATTTATTCTCCATGTTTTAACCAGTGGCTTTGTACAGGACCACCTATGGAGGAAAGATTCTTCAGGAGGTTGTTTCAATAGCTTGTACCGTTGATCTTTGTAGTTCTCGGAGGTTCTTGTTCTGAACTATGTTTGTCTGTTGCGAAGATAGTGTTCTTTAAGAATCTGTCGTCGTTCTTTTATGTTTCTGAAAGTAGGGCACTATCTATATTACGGTCATGTGCACGTTTAGTTTCTGTAGTTTATCGTTGACTTTTGGTACCAGTCCCTTGTTATTTTATTTTTTTATGGATGCTTTCTATCTTTTTTACTTGGATTTTTTTTACTTTTCTTTTTATCATTGCAGTACCCTCTTTATTTATTACTGTGTTCTTTAATCTAATTCAGCTTCGTACCCTCTTTATTTATTACTGTGATCGGCAAATATTAAACTGCATCAGTAGTTTTTGATGAATTATTACCTCTTCTTGCCATAAAGTTACTTTTCGCCCTTGTTTATATATGCCTTTTAGGCCCTTTTAAGGACTTACTGGTGGAATTTGTTTGTCAGAAAAGGGTATAATAGGAAGTGAAGAACTATAGAACTGTAAAGGCCAAATCTTATATTGAAACCACCAATCTATTTATTTGACTAATTTAGATAATGAGTTTTTGATTATTATCCATTACTGAACATTATTATCTGCAAAACTTAGGCAGATTTCCTGTATTTTACCTACCCCATTGGCGTGTGGCTAATTTAAGTCGTAAATTATGTCTGAAAAGGAGAGGTGTTTCGGACGATTGTGTATTGGAAATTAATTTAATAGTTAGCAATAGTATTTTACACGATTCTCTCCAAGGACAAAATAGACTTTCGAACCATAAGTATGATCGATCGTAACGGACGGTCGTGATGCTACACAAGACGATCAATATCCACGACTATTTGATGACTCGATCAATAAAAAACAAAGGAGAAATTCTTCAATCATACATCATAAAATCTCTGATAGGTTTATTTATTGGTTTATTTATCAATACTAACCTCAGCGTCCCATTATCTGTGTATTTATGCAAAGGGAGAGGGTGATTAAAATAGAAACAGCAAAAACGATTCAAGAAACGAAACCGAAAAAAAAATTAAAAAAAAATCAGAAACAAATAAAATATTTCACATAGAATTTTTCCCCCCACTCCGAGAAAATCCCTTTTGAAGATGCTAAAATCCCTCTGAAGCAACAAAGTGAAGCAATACAAAACAGTTCTAGAAAGCATCATTCGACTCCCGATTCTTCATTCCATCAAAAAACATTTCTTGGCAGCGGCATTCATCGCTACAAAAGGCTTTCTCACCCCTGAAAACGAACGAATTTCTCTAGTCACGTATACGACATAGGAAAATCGGAGAAATCATCAAGATCAAACCTTTTGTTATTAAATGTGAAGGAAAGTAAATCATTTAAGATAATAAACCGGTGACTCGATTTAACATCATTAAAATAACTTGGTTGGACCGGTCTACTGCACTTCAATAATTGCAATTCAACCAACAGGCTTTTAAGTAAACAGTAACCACTAAAATAAGATGTATGTGACACCAATCATTGATGTTCAATAATTCACTCAAAATCATAAAATTAAATTAAATAAAAAAAAATACAAATTATGTCCAAACATGGCAAAAGGTTTCACTTTAGGGATCCAATTATTTCTGGGCTCATCATACCTTAACAATATTGATTAATTCACAATAATAATTAATAAGAAATAAAAAAGAAAAAAGAAATGAGAGTTAACCTGTACATGTAAATGTCTTTGCCATGCCCAAGAATCTGTCTGCAATTGTGACAAGAACTCATGAAATCCATTGATGAAGATTTTGGAATAATATCTGTTGTTTGAAATCCATTATTATTATTTGTTGTTGTTTTGATTTCATCCAAACAGCTGCTCTCCACAATGCAGTCATCATATATATGAGTTGTTTTCGGATTCGGGCCATGAGTTATCACACGTGTGTAATCCTCGGAGAGCTCCATTTCCTTCAAAGACAACTGCCTCCCAAGATCCTTTCCTCCAAGAACAGGGCTCGACAACTGAGAAATGTTTCGGGTTTTGATCCCGAAATCGGTCGGTGATTTCGGAGATTCGATCGGTGAAATCGAGGATGGTGTGGGATTGTTGGTGGTATTGTTTTGTGGGATGTGCACTTTGAGGTTTGATCCGAGTAGAACCATTCGGTTGAGTAATTTGCCATCTTGATTGATGTTTTCTTGGATGATTGAATCAATTAGGGCAAGGCCAATGGCACGTGTTTCTTGTTTGTTGTTGTTCTTCATGATGGTGGTTGTTTCAGGCGGGGATTTCTTGAATGGGTTTGCAAAATTGGAAGTAGGGGTTTTGTTGTCAAGAATTGAAGTTGGGCTCATGCTAATTTCTGTGTCGAATATGTTTTTGGAGAAAAAACCATTGAAAAACCTCGGTGAACCCAAAAATGAGGAGATTGGTGAGGAAGGGGTTTTGGTCGGGGAATTGTTGTCTGCCATTAGAGCTTTCTTCGTCACTGTTCTAGATCTATTCCTCAGCATTTAATTTTCAACTGCAAGAACCAAAAAAAAAAAATAAAAAAAAAAAAATTGATGATGAATCCCTAAAGAACAAAGGGCAAAAAGGGGATTCTTGAAAAAGAAGAGCAAACCTGGTTAAAACACCATGAGAGTAGCTGCTGCAAAAGTCACAAAACAAAGAATAAACAAAAGGGTTTTTGGCTAAAAGCCCAAAATTATCATTCATACACTAAAAAAGAATTTAAAAATAATTATAAAAAAAAAAAGGAGTGAAAGTTAATTAAACGAGTTGAATGAAGAACAGAAAAAGCCCTGCTAAATCTCATTAGCCTCCATTTACAGACAACACTGAGTTAATGGTGAAACAGAAAAAAGGCCCAATCTTTTTTTTTTTTTAATCCATCAGCTCTAAATTAATGATCAAGAAGATCCAATAAACAGAGATTAGATAAAATTTTTGAAAATAGAGAGAGAGAGAGATGAGAGAGAACAGAAACAGAGGAAAAAGAATGGCTGCCTTTGCTGCTTTTTAAAGGAGAGCAGAAGAGAAGAAGGAGACGGTGAAAATTAAAATTAAAATTAAATTAAATTAAATAATTAAATAGATAATAATAATAATAATAAATAAAGAAATGGGAAATGGAAACGCCAGCAAGATAAAGGTGGGGCCCACCTGATTCTAACTTTGATAATTATTTTCTCATTCCTTTGGACTTTAGCATTCATTTCTCTTGCAATTTAATTATATTTAATAACTAATTAATAATGATCTGTATTAAAAGAAAATATAAAAAGTCGTATTATTCAAAATTGAGGTAATCCCAATAATATAAATAACAAAGCAACTGAAATTATAATTTTGCAAGTGGCTTTTTTATATGATGTTAGGCGCAGATGAATATTCCCATTTAATATTATAATATAATTACATCTCACCATATCTATTTTAATTTTTAATTTCAACAATCAAAAGATTTTCTTTGATTAATTAAATTCTCTCAACTCCAACAATAATTAATTAATTTTAAGGTATTATTATCTATTTGTTTAATCCATCTGTAATTGATTATTTATTTATTCATCTGGTGGGCTCTTTTGTCTTCTTCTATCTTTTGTCGTTATTGTTTCACTTGACCCATTATTATTATTATTATTATTATTATACTCTCTCTTTCTCTCTCACACACATACACACGAAGAAAAGGAGAGAGAGAGAGAGAGAGAGAGAGAAGGGTTATTATTGGGAGGTTAAATGCACGCACTCGTAGGTTAAAAAATGCTGACCGGATGACGACATGTTCACAGGTATCTCATATCTGACCGGGTAATTATTATTGTATTTTGTTTGTATTTATCCTAAAGCTGAGTTGCATTTCATTCGCTAGTACAAAACTACTGCTCTTCTTGACTTTCCACGTGTCCGCTTATACAATATCCCAATTTACCAAAAAACCACGGTAAAGTTAAGTATTTACCAAAAAAAAACCCTATTTTCATAGAAATTATATACAGCACCCTCTACCTTATAAATTTCTTACATTTGCCCCTACCAAAGGTTAAACATCATGATAAAAGTTAAATAAATCATGAAAAGATAGGTTCATCCTTATTATAAAAAGAAGATTTAAAGTGTGATAAAGAAAAGCAATAAAGTCAAATTAAATGGGAATTATTATGTGGGTTGAGAAATTCTGTTCAGAAAAAGTAAATTTGTATTTTTTTTAATATTTCCAAGAATTAAATTCGATCATAGAAAAAAAATTGGAATCTGCAGCTGAATTCTGACAGTCTCAGCTTTTTATTTATTTATTTATTTTATAATTGTTAAAAGATTTGAACCATCCACTTTCAAGTTAAATAAATATAAAGTGCTGTTTAAATAACAAAAAGAAAAAGTGAGTATACTTTTAATGATATGTAACACGTCATTAACAAACCACGAAAAAATTATTAATCATGCATCTATAATACCAAATATAATTAAATTGAATTTAGTTTAAATATAAGTTTTACCGAGCAATAAAATAAATAATAAAAAAATAGTAGTAGGCATGCCCTATGATGATAAATTGATTTGACATTATATAATTATTTCTAATTTCATTTGTTTTATTTATTTATTACTCTCTACTACAGGTCTAGTATAACAGACCACTAATTGCTGACCCACCCGTTTTTGGGCCCATAAGCGGGTCGGGCCATGAGGTAAAGTAACTTTGCCTCGTGCTTTTTTTTTAATGGGTCATCTGCTAATGGGTTTTTGCATAAATACTGAAAGGTCCTTTCTCTTTGTAATTTTTTTATTTTTTATTTTTTTTTCTTTCGGATAATTATTAATATTGGAATTATACACAATTCCATATTCCCTTGGCGAATGATAAAATTTTGAAAAAAATAAATAAATAAATTATTAATAGAAAGATACAATGTTATATGATTAAGGACGTTGAATATATACTAATGATAATAAAATAAGAAAATAAGTCAATTATGAGTAGTATTTGAATTTCTATAATAATATTTTCTTATAATTTCTCTTATAATTTTTTTGTACTATCAACATAGTCAAATAACTTATAGGCTATAATTTTAGCATTTAAATATTTTTTAATGACCACAAACCTACTACTTAAATGACTAGTCATTTATTTATTATCCTATTAACAACCTTTTCGAAGCTTCATCTAAAAAAATATATGTGCCATTTATTCTTTTTTTTTTCATACACAATTACACATACACATATATATAAATTCATACAAATTTATGTAAAATATGTATGAATCTGTATACGATAGAAATATAATATAACTCGTTGAAATACACCGAATTTAGCATAAAACAAATCTTTATTGGATAATAGAATATATACATGTATTACTATTATATAATAATAATGAAATTGAATACTATTTCAACATTTTGTACTATTAATAGATAAAGTCAAAGATTTATTATGTGAAGGAATTAAAATAAAAGAGATGAGGAGGATGAATTATTGTTTTAGACAAAAGTTCAAGTAAGATTAAATTCTGGTGATGCAACATTTAGATAGTGATCCCTATAGAAAACAACATGCACCAAACCAGCCCCACAATTCTTCAAAACTTATATTAAATTCAAGCACTAATCCTACCCCCACCCCACCCCCACAGGACCATCAATTTATTTGCAGATAAATTGTGTCATCATTTAGGAATGGTGGCCCTTGTACTGGGACTTTGCATAATTAAGAATTATTATAATAATTATTATTATTCAAATATATATATATATATATATATAAATAATTATTAATATATATGTATAAATGTATATATATATGATAAAATGTGTTGTGATATAGCCAATAGGCACTAGTAGATAGATATTTTGATTTTTGATCTACAGAAGAAAAAGATGTGATGGAGAGTTTTTACACGTTACATCTCATACAACTTGGAATTATATATATATTTATTGAATTTATTATTTGATAACGTATCAATCATTTACTTAGTAGTAGTCAATGTTTTGAAAACCGGACCGGACCGGCCGGTTCGACCGGTTCAACCGCGAACCGCTGCCATGTCCGGTCCGGTTAGATCTAAAAACCCAAAAACGCCAAAAAACCGGGTCAACTATCAAAATTCCGGTTCGACCGGTAAGAACCGGAAAACCCGGAACCCAGTCGTAGAACCGGGTTTTAGCTAAAAAATACGTCTTGGCCGGATCTGCGTCGATGGTGGCTGAATCTCGTCGGAGAAGGTTGTAGATGAACAGATCTAGACGGATCTTAGTCGTATGTGGCACAATAGAAGTGATGACCGACATATCTATCGACTGAAGAAAATGAAAGGATGAAGGTGAAAGTTAAAATGAAGAGAAAAATTAAAAGGAAGTGGAGAAATGTGGCGGCGGTGAGAAGAAAGAACTGGGAAGAAAGAAAGGAAGAAGAAGAAGAAAAGAAGAAAAGAAGAAATAAAGAAATGAAGAAAGAGAGTGTGGTTGTGAAAAGTCTAGAGGAAAAGGTAATTATATTATAAATTATGGTTTTCTATTAAATAAAAAAACAATTATAAATTATTTTTTAATAAGAAAAAAAATGGTGGAGTAAGTTGGAAAAATAAATTGACAAAAGTGGGAAGAAATAATAAAAAGAAATAAGAAATATTTTTATTTAAGGTATTAAAATTAATAAAATAATTATATGAAAAAAAAAAGTAAAAAACCCGGTCGGATCTCGGTTGAACCGGTCCGACCGTGACCCAATTAGTTGTCCGGTTCGACTTCCGGTCCGGTTTTCAAAACATTGGTAGTAGTATTGACAAATTTCATACATTTGCGGTATCAAGAATTATACATACACGAAATATATATAATATGTATTTTATATTTAATTATTTAGTCTGAAAGTTTTCCTTGAATGGTTGTACGTTTTCTAATCACTCTTTCTTTATCATGTTCAAAATATTAAAGTATCTGCGTACTGTAAAATGGCTTAGTCAAACCAAGAACAACCTTTTTTTTTTTTTTTTTTTTTTTTTTTTAAAGAAAAAAAAAAGAATGGTGTAATGATTGAAGATAAGATCACATTGAATTAGGCTATCAATATAATTTCAGCACAGCTTATTTAAATCTCAGACACTTGTTAACAACACACGTAATTATTTTTGTCAGTGTTTCTTTTTTTTTGTCTGGAACTCTTGTTTTTTAAGGCGTCAAGTTTTGTTCATTTAAAGAAATTGATTTATTGTTCAAAAGATTAAATCAATAATAATAATAATAATAAAAGTTGCAAGAAATATTGTACCAATTCAGGACAAGCGTGTGTGTCTGGATGGAGAGTGAAATAGCAACACTATAATGAATTAGAACACTAAACCAATCCTTATTTACGTGTTTAATTATGAGTTTATGACTAATCGGCTTATCTGAATCTGATACAAAAGCAGGGCCATCTCCCTTTCTACTAAATAATAATCATCATCAATTACCCGCAAGGGTGGCCTAGCGGTTGGAGCAAGGGAGCTTGGGTCAATTGACCCAAGTTCGAATCCCCTTGTCAACGGTCGCTAGGTCGAGCTTGTCACACATGGTTAGCCTAGTGTGGTTTACATCTCTTGTATGGTTTGATGGTTTGAAAGCTATTATACGAGAGTGTAGGTTTCCCCAGTGCACCTATATGGTTGGCTGCGGGTTCCTGCATTACCAAGAAAAAAAAAAAAAAAAATAAAATAAAATAATCATCATCAATTTTATCAACTAAAGTAGGTACCGCAGTTAAACCATGTCCCTTTCTGTCCCTACTTACACGTGTCTTTATCCCATTCGTCATCCCCATTTGGTGGGCTCCCATATACCTATAACTTAAAGTCTTCAACCGTTTCCAATTATCTTTGGCTAAGTGGTTTTTTTTCTTATTATGTTTCATACATTACATAATTTATATGTATATATAAATATTTAATTTTAAAATTTTATTCTCATTAATTTTTAATTGGTAATATATTTTCAATTTGCAATAATAAAGAAATCACTTATAATAGGTCTACAATTATGGTGTCAAATGGGGCCCACAAAGGTTTCTTATTCAATCAGCTCTCATGACTAATATCTATTGTCTTCTCTTCTGTTCACATCCATTGCATTATTGGTTATATCATCTGTACTTTGTACACGTCATATTTAAAAAATTAAAATAAATAAATAAATAATAAGAGAAGAACTTTTTTATTCGTATACGTTTCCTTCATAGAGGGGTTTGTAATTTGCCATTTAAATTCGATCAGTAATGCGACAAACAAACTTTCAAGATTGTGAAATTTGTTGAGCTCAATTTGGATTTCAATTTTGTATCGTAAAAGACAAAAAACCCACGTGATAATAATTATGTTATTGAGCCTTAGATATGATTAAATCTTATTAGGGAAAAATAAAAATAAATATTCCATCTTTGTTCTATAAATACAATCGCAGTTAATATAATTTTAGAAATAAATAAATGTATTTACCATTAGAACACCGGCCGGCAAAAGACAAGGTCCAATATTGAAAAAAAATCGCACGTCTCTAAAATTATTAAATGAAACGTCTTTTTCACCAAATTGCAATTCTTGTGATCAAATGTCAAATTGTTACCTTTTTGTATACAAATGCCAGCCCCAAATTTCAGAAAATAATAATTCAAGAAAAATAAATAGGGTAAGGAAAGTAAAATTACATGAATCTCCCTGATGTCTCTATCTGCTGAAAATTACGATAATGGTGTCTGATTCTTCTTGTCATTTCTGCCCTTCTTTCTAACCTCTCTTCTCTCGGCCGAGTAATGCTTCTTGATTAACAAATTACGCATCGACATTTTCACTGCTTGAGCAGCTGTGGAGAAAGCTTCTTCGCCTATACACAATTTCCCTTGCAATTCTAGAAGAAGCGGGTCTGAATAAGGAACCTCCTTATCTTCTAAAACCCTCGTCTCGTGCGAAATTGAATCTGAACCGTTGAAATCAAATCCAGAAAGAACCCTAACACGTGCCAAAAGTGCAGTAGAATCTTTATTATTATTAGGCTGTGAGATCGAAGAAGCACCCATGACCATCCATAACAACGGGACTGAAGAGGAAGCTCCAATGCTCGTTGGGATGAATGGTTCTCCGTCAACAGAAATCACCTGCAGTAGACATTGACAAGGGTAGATTAGTCTTTTTACGTTTTGTCGTCGTTAATGAATTAAAACTGATTTGGTTTGACTTACTTTGGAGAGCGAGAGGGTTCTTGAAGAGAGGTTACATTTTAACAGCAGTATTCCTGGCAAGCTTTAGTGATAAATACAAGGATTAGTAGTGTTGGTTTTTTTTTTTAAAGGTAAAAAAAAAAAGTTTGTCGTAAGTGATTAATGATTATTACATACCTTTGGATAGCCACAGCAATTAGTGAACCATCAGGGGTTGCACAAAGATCGGTAACGGCAGGCAAGATCTCGTCTTGTCCTTGAATAGAATCTAAAAGTCCTGCCTTCATGAATATAGAGAATTAAAACAAAAGTCAATGATTAAGATTTGTTCGAATTTCAAATGTTCTACAAATGTAAAACTCATATAATATTTGACGTGGATGATCAAATTAGAGAAAACTTCCGGTGAAAATTATGGCTTGCAAAATTTGTAGGTGAAAAAAAATGGGGTTAATGTATTTAATTTTTTTGCTAAAAAGAAATAAAGTTATCCGCCTACCTTAGCTCCAACATCACACGTATCAAGCAGAGAACCAGATGCATAGTCCCATAACCGAACCTTCAGGCCAAACACGATTAGGTTAGCTCAGGAAAGACGAATGATCATCATATTTTCAAAATTTGGAAATTCTAAATTCGATTAACTCACAGTTGAATCGCCACTTCCAGACACTAGAAGTTGATTCGCAGAATCCTGACAATGTACAAATGCAAGGCACGAAACGAAGCTGGAGATAAATACATACGAGCAAGGTTTAGAAACAAATCAAGAATATTATCCAACAGAAACACGGATACAAAAAATACCAAAATCAAACAGTGCCATGCATATATTTTGACCCAAAAAAATCAACTTCATTTTTCTACGTCCCGATTTAGAGGACAAACTTCTACGAAAACAAAAGCAGCAATTTACAAATTACAGTTATCTAATGTAAGTTTTAAGGACAGACGTAACCAAATAAGCCAAGACCATTTATTATTAACACTATCTAGTTATCACAATCTCAGTGAACAGGTTACAACGAATAACACTTACTCGGTATGACCGAGGCAAAAACTTTGTATCTCGTGAGCTCCATTTAATGGCTCCTTGGGAAACACAGTGACACGAATTTTGAAGTCTCGATCTGCAGTAACAATGTATTGTCCATCTGGCGAAAATTCCTGTACATCAATTATGCTAATAGTAAGTTAAATCCTCCTAAACAGAACGTATGTAATGATTAATCGTGAGCAAGAGCGTGATACAAAGGATCGAACACCACATAAAAGGGGGCAAAATCCATGAAACATGAGCCGAAAACCCACACATGGGATTGCACTAATTGGCTCAAATTAATGGATACATAACAAAAAATACTCAAGAAGATGGATATTTACCAGTCGAGTAATAATGCTACAATAATGGGAAAGAATAGGAACAGCCTTTTTACTAAGGGGAGCTTGATTTTCACAGCTGTGATCTCCTATATCCACAACATATACGACACCAAACTTATCCGCAAAACACAAAAACTTCCCATCACTGCTTATTGCAAGAGAAGTCACTCTCTTCTCTGAAACCCTATTACCATAACAACAAACAACTTTCAGAAAATTCACTAAACCCTCCAGTAATTTGATTAATACTTTTTGAATTCATCGCAAACAAAGATTTTTTTCAGTAGAATTTGCTTACACAGAATAAATGCAACGCCAAGAATTAGTATCCCAAATTTTCACAAGCTTATCATCTCCAGCAGATACAAAAAGCTGCCCGCTTTTACTAAATCGAATAGCCCGAATTGAGTCCTTATGCCCTCCATTGTCATCCAGTAATTTAGCTCCAGAACCGTCTCTTAAGAAAAAATCACATAATTACCACGCAGAAAATGGTTTAACTGTACTAATTCAAGCTTCATCCCAATTAAATAACGGATAAAAATGTTTCCTTTTTCTTACTGGAGATTGAAAACCCGGAGTTCCGATCCAATTGAGACGGATATGAATTTTTGGTTCGGGTGGATTGCAATTAGGGCTGGAGCTACCTCCGATTCAAGCTTCTGCTCGCTTTCTTCCATGTGAGTGTCCTCCATTTCCGTTCGATCGTGGTTTGCAGAGAGCTAGGGTTTTTCTAGGGTTTATTTTAATTTGGGGATGCTGAAAGCCCAATTTGTTATAAGCTTAGCCTAATGGACTTTCATTTGAGGATGGTCTAAGCCCACTATTTTGTGATGAGCCCACTAAATATTTCACTCTTGCACTAATGACCCATGAACTTAACAAAATTCAATTAGCAGCCCTCCGCATTATGCAATTAAATTGGTTCATATAGACAAAACAAATGCATCAACAGATATAAATGTAGAAACAACTCATACAAGGTGCAATTACATAACATAGAAAAAAAAAATCCAAAAAAAAAAAAAATATCCATCCAAAGTTTTACTAAAGCTGATACCAATGTAGTCTAAAAAAACTAGAAGAGGGGTAATTCGGTAATTGCAATGCCTCTCCATCCAAGTATTGGACAACCCAAAAAAAAAAAGTAAGTCCAAACACCCAACAACAAGAACCATCATATACTCTTCTTCTTCTAAATTCTGAGCTGTGTACAACCAAGAACAGTCCCACGGCACCTCGTCATAGGCGCCACCTGTCGCCAAACCAATCTCTCGCTGCCAAGTGTCAAAACATCCACATCAGATGACGGCTTGATATCCCAGTTCATCCTATCCGGACCAATAACCCCACCAATCACGTAGATATCATCCCCCAAACCAATCATACCAAAACCAATCCTCCTACGGAACTCGTAGGCAGAAACAACTAGCTTATTCGAATCCCTCTCCTGCTTACATATCTGACCATGGCTCATTACATACAGCTTCCCCTTAACCACCGCCATTGGTCCCTGCAGCCAACTACAATCACGGACGGTCCAACCCTGGTCAACATTCTTCTCCAAAACCTGCACCGTCGACAAACCCTTGTGCAAGATATGAACCCTACCCTCCAAAACCACTCCAGTACAAGCTGAGTTATGCGTACGGTGGAGATCCGGTATCGGCTGCCATGTGTCCTTATCAGGATCGTAGATCTCCGCCTTGGATATCGACTTCCTGCAGTCAGTAAAACCACCAGCCACGACGATCTTACCGTCCAATACACAGCAAGCAAACATGGCCCGGGGTACAATCATAGGGGCCCGCGGGGCCCACTGCCTAGTTACCGGGTCGTAGGACCAGACCTCATCGGTGGCGAAGCAGCCGGCCTGGTCGCCGGTGGTGGGATCCACGGCGTCGCTTCCGCCTCCCAGCACGAACAGCTTTCCCGCCGTTGAGACTATGCCGAAGTGCGCCAGGTGGCGGATGTTGGATGGCAGATCGGGGAGGGTGATCCAACGGTCATGAGGAGGGTCGTAGAGCTGCCACAGATTGTCCGGGTCGTAAGCGCACACGCATATGAACTCCTCGGTTGAGTTCACCTCTTGACGGGCTTTGAAGAGCTCGGTGCTGCGAATGGCTTCTCTCCAAGAACGGGAGACGAGCTCTAAATTGGGGTGGAGGTGAAACGGAACCCGCGCGAGGCATCTTAAGGCTACTGCATCTGGGAGACCTTCGATGAGTTCTGACATGAGTAGCTGCTGTACCTGAGAGTCGATGAATAAATGAGTTTAACATAGATTGTTTATCATAAATGAGAATAATTCAGAGCAGGCCCTTTTATGTATGAACTAAATTTGTTCATTATATGAAACCAAACTAGAAATAAAGTCGCCTGAAACATCACAAGAAGCTGCTACGTTCTAAAAGATGTCAATTTTACTAATTCAGTGATGGTGTGAGGAAGAAAATTATGGTCATCAGATACACTGTGACAGCTCGATAAAAAAACAATTTCCCCTTCACCAAACATAAACATCCGACTATTTGGAACCCATGACCCTGAAAATTTTAAAACTAACCAAGTTGATTGTAGTCTCCAAATAACAGCTCGGTCTACTTTCAGCTTTGAGACACTATACAGTAAATAGCGAAAGAACTGAACTGCAGTAACTGTACAGTATGAAGATAACAAGCATATATTTATCCCTTAACTATCTACAAATCAACATATTACTCTCCCCCCACCCCCACCCCCTGGATATTCCAACCACAAAATCATCGGATCATAAGCAAGATGTTAGCTCTTTTATCTTTCAATACACATAATGAAAAAATAAGCTCATATATGCATTTTTAATGAGCCTCAAAGCCTCTTGGCCGTTCAGCAAATACAGATAATTTCATCACAAATAATTTGAGATGATTCAGCTTAAGCATTATCACATGATCAAGGCAAAAAAAGTACTCTGCCAAGTAAAAGAATATTGACAGTCAATCAAGATGCATGGATAAATCAGTATGCTCATATGCATTAAATGTTGTCGGCAAATGGGTGATGCCAAAACAATTATCTAGTTACTTCTTATGCAATCACCAAGAAATTGGATATTTTATAGCGATACAATGTCTCACTGATATGGTAATTATCTCTATAAATATAACAATGCAGTGATGCTTACTGTTTTGTTCCATTTAGCTTAATTATCCCCTCAATCTCTGTCTTAAATAATCAGTCAATCATAATATTTCATGGATTCTACAGCAATCAACTAGAAGAGATACTCTATAACTAAAATCGATCACACGTGTTGATAGCTGGATCTAACTGCCTTGTCACTAAAGAAGACAAAAGCAATTCAAGAAGGATTACATGTTCAATGTTTACACGTGGATGCTCACTTATTTATCGTAATTCAGAAAACCTTTTCCGTATTTGAAAACATGGAAAAAGAGGGTGGAGGGATAAGTGACACTATATATCCCCGATCGCAAAAGCAAAATGTAAATATCAGATAGAGAAGTGCGTGCAAGCTGTTAGTGTTGTATCTACAACTAAACCATAAATGTTCAAATTGAATTTAGATCTTTGGCACCTCGATTAGTATTTTCATCTTATTTTTTCACAGATTCACTTAATATAGCATCTATAAGATCGACAATTGCCAAATTATCGGCATACGAGAATGCATCCTAACTGTAGATAACAAAGTTCTATACCCTCTCCAACATGAAACAGCAGCAATTTTCATATTCTTCCAACCTTTTCAAATTAATCATGATTATATTATCACATCAACTCATCAATATTTGCATTTTGCACCAACGTTTCCTTATTTGGTTCTCATATATAATTTCGGCCAATTGGAAACGAAAAACAGATGCAAAACCTATACAACTGTTGTGAATTACAAGCACAAAATTCAATAAGACATAGAAATAATCCACATATCATTTCGTTCCAATTAAAAATCAACTTAACACACTTCGAGTGAAATGCACGTGCTTAACCAAACAAATGCAAATACAGGCAAAATGAGAGACCCGATATTTTGAAAGAACCCCCAAAATGTATCACTAAAAATAACCCTAATCCAAAATTATCAAAACCATGCACCTATTTGCCCAAAAGTGTACAGAACAAATCTATATTTCACACTGTGTTTACATGAAAATTAAACAAGAGAAAATCAAAATCAAAATCAAAAATCAAAAATCACTGTTACTTCACTAAATCCAAGGATAAAATATCGAATTTGAGCGCAACCCATAAATCAAAATAAACGGCAATAATTACACGAAAAAAACGAAAACGTACCTGATTAACAAATAATCCGATCGAGAAACAAGATTTCAGCTCCACTTTCCCAAAATTTTGAGCATAGATGACGAACGCAATAAACAAAAAAAAAATAATAAAATTCTATTGTCTGAATTTCCGGTAGTTGCAGAAGAAAACGAAGTGTGTGGAGATGAAAAACGTTATATAAATGTGAAAGAACACATTTCTTGAAGAGATGAATTAGGTTCGAAAAGTCCGTAAATCAGAATTGTCTGAAAAATATTAGGTAAAAGAGTTTACCCTCAGAAATAGAAATTGGGAACGGAATTGGGGCATTTGGATATTCCATGCTCGCTGCCCCTGCCGTAGGGTGTTCAGTTTTGGTTGCCACGTGTCACGTGCCTCGCACGTGTTTCTTGTCAATTCGATTTTTCAGACTATTTTTTCTTTTTTTTTTGTAATTTCTTACAAAAATTATTATAATAAAATCTATTTGATTAGGGAAAAAAATTTGATTGGACGAATGGGATTTTTATGCGTCAATTTTGTGGGTACTTTTTTGCATAGCTGTTTCCACCTGTAACAAAGCATTTAATTTAATGCTTTGTTAAACCACAATACATATTTTTTTTATTTTTAATTAATTACGTCTTATGTATTTTAGGGCAAATAATATATCAAATGTGGTGCTCATGCATAATTGAAAAGTCGGCATCAAATATTTTCGAAATTATATAATTTTTCTATTTAAATATTATTATTAATATGATAGTTGTGTATTATTAATTTCGTTGTATTGTTGACTTTATATTTGTAATTAGGTGGACCAATTTTGGATTAAATTAAGACATTTGCTAAAGTCAATGGATTTGTAGAAGTGCCTAAGTTATTAAAGTACACTAATAGCCTATGCTAACAGAGTTTAGGTTGCAAAAAGTGAATTAGGTAAATTACAACAACCTTTCAAGTAAAGTTGATTAACGAAAAAACCCACTCATTTTATAGAAATTACATCCAGTTCTCTACAGTTTGTAAGTTTTTTACGTCCACCCACCCACATAAGAAATCTACAAATTGCAGGGGTGTAATTGTAATTATAGGAGAATGATGAGTTTTTTTTAAATAGACCTTACCTCAGGCGTCCGTTGTAATTTACCCATTTTCTATATATTTTAGTTTGAATGTTTAACTTCGAGTTAGTATAATTTTCAATGACTTTTTAATAAAATGGATTTCGATTATCGTAATAAATCGAAAAGTAATTCAAATCGAGAATTAGTGACATGAATTCATCTAAAAAAGAGTTCAAAGGATTGATTAATTATGTAGTATGAATGTGAAATATTTAGTTCCAAATATTGCGTTCAAAAATATCAGACAACTCTCTTATTAGTACATCTCATTCCCAGAGGAAGTTATACAAGAGTTAGGACAAAGATACGTCGAAAAACATAAGCTATACCAAACGACAATGTAATCGCCAAACTATATATGATCAACGGTCAGGATGAAATCAGCTCAAATGATCACTATCACAACTCCAGCAAATGATGCAGCCGCTAGCAGTACAGAGTATGTAATCTTGCTTGAATATCCTGCAAAAATAAAATAAAAATAAAAATAAAAGAAAAATAACAAATTATTGTTGGAATTTTTTTTAACATATGATAAAAATTTGTTACCAGCTGGTGGTGGAGGTGTAGTACTATTAGATCCTGGCGGTCCTGGTGGAGCTGTTAATCCGGAAAAAAAAATAAAAAAATTAAGACTACGAAATATTTATCGACGTGTGTGATTTATTTTCGGACGAATTAATTAAGGAAAAAGAAGAGGGAGTAATATAATATAAAAAAGATTCTTACAGTTGCATTTGGAAGGAGGTGGAGTTTGGAGATTGCAAGCTTTAGGGAGTTCCAAAACACGAGTACTGCTAAAACCGCTTTCGCTTAGGATTTGACAAAGGCATAGGGGTTGCGTTTCAAGCACGTTTTTAAGCTGATTGCAGCACTGAGAAGAAGGTGCTGAGCTGGCATCCGTAACCGAAGGATAACACGGCATTAGGCTGGATATTGTGCTCTTGCAGTCGAGTTTCTCCTCCACGGCTGACGAAAGAGATGCCGAAAAAATTAAACTCAATAATCCTATAATTATAATCTCCATCTTCTTTGATGATGCTGTATTTTATTATTTTTATTTTTCTTTATTAGGTTTGTCATTCAACTTATGAATGCTGGTGCTTTAAGTTTGATGAAAAGAAGAGTAGTAGATAATAGATATGAAATTTATTTTTGCCAACTTTTTAGCAGGTACTTTATAGGGAAAAACTAACTTTAATTAGTAGGTTCATTAATTGCTATGTAAATAAATGGATAGATAATTAGCCAGCGAGCGCATGTGCTCGGCAAATTCGTGAGCTGTTGAATTCAGTCGAAATGTCTTAAAATTGTCTCATTGAATGCAAACACACACGCTTTATAAATCCGTGTTTCTTGAACTATATGTATGGTACAAACAATGTATGGTCTACTACAACGAAACCACACTAATATAACAAATACTACACCGAAGACACAAACATAAATCAGTTACACGGTTCGTAGTGAATAGTGATAGAAAGAATTTTAAATAAGTAATTGAAGTTCGTGACAATCGAATGAATGCTGCAACAAATTCTTAAAATCCGGTTCCCGAAAATGCCAACGACGAGGCTAACAAGAGAAATACACCAACATAACTTGATTTGGCTCCGTTATTGCTTCCTCCAACAGAGAAACCATCATCGGTTTTAGACCCTGCCCCTGCATTCGTGTAAATTCCAATAGGTGATTAGGCTTTGTTTGGATGGACGGATAGGTCGTAACTAACGAATAAAGTATTGGATTCAGTTTGATGTTCGATTAAGTCTAATAATTATTCGACTAATTTTGATCTTATCTTGGCTTAATCATATTATATGTGGCACCCAAACAACGCCTTACAATAAATAGTACCTGATGGAAAATCGGAGTCTGATGGTGGATCTTCAAGAGTACCGTCATCGGAAGGCGGCAAAGTCGGGGCGGGGCCGGAATTTGCCGGTCCATTCACAGCTGTTTTATCAAAATCACATTAAAGTTAAATAAACTGCATTTTCATTAATTATAGAAACATCAAATAATCATAATAGACTAATGGTAAAGAGAATGGGTTAATTGCATTCAACACCCTTATGTTTATCCTAATTGTTAAATAACCCCCCATCTTATTAATATTAGCAAAAACACCCTTATAATTCAACCCCTAAAAGTGCATCTTATAAGGGGTTGTGTGGTTAAAAAAATTCATTATTGGGTTTTATTTGATAATATTTATAACAATGGGAGTTTTTTATCAATTCAATATAATATAGGGGTTTGAATGCAATAAACTCAAGAGAAACAATATAGTGTGTGTGTATGTATGCATCTGACCGTTACACTGGCTGACTGGAGGGGTTTGAACGTTGCAAGCGGCGGGCAAAGCGAGGGCTAGGGTTTGATTAATGGCGATGCCGAGAGAGGATGCGCCGCCGCCTTTGAGAAGGGCGCAGAGACACTGCGGCTGCGAGTCGACCAGGGTTGAGAGGCGGGTGCAGCACGACGTTGATGGGGCGGTTGAATTTCCGGTGACGTAGTTAAGGCACGGTGAGAGGCTCACCATCGCCATTGTGCACCCTGTTTGAGCTCTGGCTCTGTTACTCAACAACACACTCATCACTAAGATGATGAGTACTGCAGTTTTCACACCCATTTTTTTTTTAATTAAATATTTAATTATATATAACGAGAGAATTTTGATTTGAGTGAGGAATTTGAATTGGTAATTGAATGAATGAATTGGGATTAATATAACATGAAAAACAGGTTTGTTTTGTTGGCCAACTCTAAAATTAGTTTAACTATTCGAACCAATATTACACATGATTATTTTAACGGCTAGTCACCAAATTTGATGACTTCACGCCAAATACTTTAATTTGTCATAATTAAATTTCATTTCATTAAATGAATTGGAGTGTAAAAATAATAGTAGTTACACATATTTCTCTCTGACAACCCATGCGTCATTATTATTGTTGAATAAATGTTATTTAAAATATAGATCTCTTGATATATTTTCAGCAAACTCACATCAATTTTCAGTCCCTATATAAAAAGGTTTTTAACATGCACAAAATTATTAACACTGAATTCTTTAGTAATTAAAAAAAGAAAAAATGAAAAACTCGAAGTTTTCGATTCTTTGCTTCGTCACCTTCACGGTTCTCCTGTTATCAGGTATCCATTTATGACTTTATTTCTATAAATTAAAATACATATATACATTTTCTTCATATAAGATTAGTTACGATTAATTAAAATAAAATGGTTTTAATTTTGGTTAACTAGAATAATAATTTATAATTAATTACATATAAAATGCGTACATGAACGTGCAGCGCAAATCTGGACCGTTGATGCAAAAGAATGTATGGAAGGGCTTACATCGGTGGATGTACTTTGTATAAGGTCGCGTGCATCGGATAATTGTTGGGACGCGTGTCGACAGCGTCATGGACCGTCGATAAGGGCCTTTTGCCGGGCAGTTGGTCCCGGCTTCCCCGGCGAAATTTGTTTCTGTTCCTACCCTTGCTAAGTTAATTAAGCCGATTATTTTCCCCGAATTAAATAAAATATAATTAATTAGACTCGATTCGAATAAAATTTTGGAAAAATTCAGTATCTCTTAGGAAACATAAGAAAGCTCTCTTGTTGTAACTTAGATTTTGATTAAACAAATTATACTGGAAATTATATGTTTTGAAGATAATGATTTTTTCTATTACAAAAATCATCTATTATATGGCTAAAAAATTAATGGTAGTTACACATCATTCATTATTTATTTTATGTAAAGAGTAAAAACAAATAATTATTACATGGAAACCCACTTGACAGATTGTGATATTTCTGAGCAAATTAACAAAATCTAAATCTTGAGTCCTCTATAAAAGAGTCAAAATATATGAACAAAATTATCAATACCAAATTTGAATTATTAAAAAGAAAAATGGCAAACTCGAAAATTTCGGTTCTTTGCTTCATAACCTACACTGTTCTCCTGTTATCAGGTACCCCTTTCAATTTATTACCATTGGTTACGGACTTGTTATTACGTTACTACGTTTATATAATATGTTTGTTCACGTATATAAATAAATAATGAGAAAAAAATGATGAACGTGCAGCGCAAATCTGGACCGTTGATGCAAAAGATTGTATAGAAGGGCTTACATCGGTGGATGTACAGTGCAATAGGTCAGAGGCATCACAGAATTGCTGGGACGCATGTCGAAAGCGTCATGGATCCAAAGCCACGGCTTTTTGTCGTGCTTCTGGTCCGGGCTTCCCCGGCGAAATTTGTTTCTGTTCTTATCCCTGTTAAACATTTAATTAACTTTTTGGTCCTTTTAACTTGTAAGCAATACATTTCTAATAACTTGTAAGCTCTCTTGGTTAAAATGACTTTTGTTTTGAATAAAGTACATTGTTGTTGAAGATATACTTACAATTAGAAGAAAAATAAATTATGAATTGGGGATAGATACATAACATATTGTCTTTAATTTACCAATAAACTTAGGCTTCGTTTAGTTGTCACGATAAAATTAATCGAGATACGATCACATAGTTTAATGAGGACTCAATTATTTTATCAGATCACGAGCTAAACATAAAAACTCACTAACGGACAAGATAAGAAAAAAGGTAAAATTTATGGATCAACCCAATAAATTATTAGGATGCTGACAAAGTTGAATTATTTAATTAATAATGGTAAACCTTAATCCAACAAATTATTTATAATCTACTTTTAAGTGTTAGCAAAATGAAATTTTACTTTTACTTCCCTCAAAATAATCAACTTTAAGCTAAAATCTGTTAAGCACACATGATTAAGTTTTTTCAATTTAAGTTGATTTTTCAGCAAATTTACAAACACCCTATTTTTTAAAATCTATTAACATTATTTGATATTTTTTTACGCTTAATTCTAGTGGCTAGATGTATACATCTTTCATTAGTTTGATTGGTTACCTTTGGGGATTAATTCTGCAATGTTCTTTATAAGAGTCACTTTTATGGCAAGCCCAGCTCGAGCTTGCATCCATTTTGACGAGCTCTAGCTCGAGCTCTAACTATTTTGTGTAATTTTTTTTTTATTAATATCATTCAAAATTCAGTATTATAAATTATAAGAAACGGTGACCTTTAGTTTATTTTTTTCAATTATTTATATGGATCTTGTTCTTTGTTTTATATAAATTATATTTAAAATCAAAATATAAAAAAATAATTATAATCAAATTAAATAAAGCTCACGAACCAGTTCACAAACAACTTAAAATGAGTTACGAGTTCAACTCATTAGAAAACTCGAGCTTGTATCTAATATAAAAATAACAAAATAAATTAAATCAAAATTAATATAAAAGCTCGAAAACCGGCACGCGAGTTTATGAACAACTAATAAACAACTGAAGCTCGATTCAACAGAAATATTGGGCTGGGCCTCAATATTTCTCCATGGACTGGTACAGACCGTGGCCCATAAGGTTCACGGGCCGCCCGTCTAGCCCAGCCCGCTAGAAGATTAAGTTGCACCCAACTCTTTTTTTTTTTTTTTTTTTTGCTTATTTCCCTTTTTGTTTTAATTTCAATAAATACACTACAAATTCATTTAAATAGAAAAGAATCATGAAATTAAAAAAAAAAAAATCCTTATAATTTTCTTTGTATTTCATTGTGTAATTTTACTTTTATTTAGCAACTTTCACCTTTCCTTCTCTACGTTTCTTCTTTTATTTTATTTTTTCACTATGAAAATATCAAAAAACACTTAAAAAAAAATATGTATCCTACTTGTGGACTAACTTTAATATAATTTCATTATGAATCTTATGAGATTATTTAGTTAAAAATGACTATTTTAATTTAAATAAAGTATGAATCTTATGAGATTATTTAGTTAAAAATGACTACTTTATTTTAATTTTACTTAAGTATGAAATATAACTTCCAAATATAATTTATATACGTGAAGATTCTTTATAGTCTCTACAAGGTAATTATGCATGGGAATTAAATAATGAGTATTAATGTTCACATGCATGCGTATAAAATTCGTAATAATATGTATAGGTTGGTTCAATTTATTTTTATAATAAATTTCAAATCCTCGTCTCAGATTCTGACCTGTGATTTACTTTATATAAAATAAAATGATTTAAATTCTTCAAAATCTTTTTCTATTAGTGTTTCCTTAACTAAAAAATCAAGAAAATCCTTACAATCTACAATATATTGTGTATATATAAATATATGGTAACCTCAATATTACAAGATATATAGAGAAATTATTACAATTTATAAAGCAATCTACACTATTGATCCTAATAATTTCTCCACTCCTATAAAAAGCTAGCAAATTGCCCCAAGAGACTGAATTATATAATATACTCTTGAGCCATATATTACATATATACCAATAATTTAAATTAAAAAAAAAATGGCAAAAGCCACATTTTCTGTAGCTATTCGTTGCTTTCTTCTGTTGTCAGGTAACTATGAAATAGCATTTTTTTTTTTAATTTTTATTGCTTGCTTTATTAATTATTAATTAGATGTTAATATTGTTTTATGGCAGTGGTAATTATGAGTAATATTCCATTAATGGATGCAAAAACATGTCAAGAAGGGCTTCCATGGGTGGATCTGGTTTGCTTAGGTGACAGGGCAGCACAGAGTTGTTGGGACGCTTGCCAAGAACGCCACGGTCCCAACGCAAAGGCATGGTGCCGTTCTCTCGAGCCCGCTTTGCCGACTCAGATTTGTTGGTGTAATTGGGATTGCTAATTATTTTCTTTCTTTCTTTTTTATAAAAAAAAAAAGAAGATGAAGAAATTCATATATAGATTAATAATATAAAAAGTACTATGCAATTTCAATTTGCATATATTTCCATTTGATTAGAAGTAAAATTAATTCATCAATGCACTCAAAAACTACTACCACTTTGATACATTAATTCATCAATGCATTCGCAAATTTATTTTTATTTATTAACTATTAATTAATTAAGGTCTCTAATTGAGAAATTTTCTTGTGACGAATAATTCATTACCACCACCACCACCAGAACTGTCATTACTACTATTGTCATCATCGGCCGGAGGAGGAGTTTGAACAGTCGCCGGAGGGCACTTCTTCTTCTTATTTCTTTTGATAGAGCAACCACAAAAGCATTTAAATTTAAATTTTAATCCAAATTCTAATTCTTCGGGTTCGAATTCAAGCTTTTTCGGCTTCAAACACACTGCATTAGCGCCTCCGCCAAATGCTTTTTTGCAAGCATTTGTACAAGCACCCAAATTGTTCATACCTTTGTTGCCCAATTTAACCATCGGGCAATAAGCGCTAGGTGCTGCCGCCGCCTTGCTTGCCCCTGCACCGCCGCCACAAATAATTCAATTAATCCAAATCAAAAACAATGTTAGAAATGTTTGTTAAAATTCAATTAAGCAACATAATTTTGATTAAAAAATGAAAATTAGAAATAGATTGAATTAGAGAGAGAAATATGTACATAGTATAGTAATGGCGACAAGAGCAACAGAGAAGTATACAATACAAGATTTTGACATCATGTTTTAGGCTGCAATAAGATGATGTATGAAGGATGATTAAACTGCTACAGATGCCTCACAATTTATAGCCCTTCAAATAATGAGAAAAACACCATTAGGATAATCTTCTCTTAACTAGACACTTATCCAATTCAATCACCTATTTAGTTCATCTTAATCCCACTCAAAAAAATGTTCTGACTTTTTGTCATTAATTAATTGCGAAGAAATCTATATTGACATCTCTTGGTTTCAAGTTATATTCAACTTCGTCTCTCTTTATTTTCTTAGGTATTGTTTGGTTTGTGAGATTAGTCGTG